CGCTGAGTGTGCCGTTCAGCTCCACTCGAGCCCGCCGGTCCCTCAGGAACTGCCATATCCAGGTGATGAAGCAGAGCGGGATATCTTGCTCCAGGAGTCTCACTCTGAGCAGCCGATGGTCCACAGTGTCATACGCTCTGCTGAACTCGAACGCGAGAAGAACGAACTTCTGGGCGCACGATCCCTCCTCTGGGTTCTTGCGGCGCATGTTCGAGCGGTTCCAGCCGTCTTGTACTTGCTGCACCAGTCTTCCGATGCTATCTTCGACCGAGCTCTGAAGCCAACTTGTTCGGCTGGGATGAGTTTTCTCTCCTCAGCGATGAGGGTGAGCCGGGCCAGGAGCTTCGATAGCCGAACCGCCGCTTGCCCGTTTCCAGCCGCGGACGGGGAAGATGGAAGAGGTGATCTTGCCTGGATTGTCTCTCGCGGATAGCGCTATTAGCGACGAGCAGGGCTGCTAGTTGCTCGGGTTCTCGGCGCTGTAAGACCTTGTGTGCGATGACAAGGGTGTGGAAATCGGACATACCGCGCGGGGACAACCACCCGAGTTTTGTTCGCAGGTTGAAGACATGGTCAAATTAACGGCGGCCGAAAATAACTCTAGCGGCGAACTTAATATTTTTTTTTAAAGTCGATCGAATTTTTTTGGGACCCATTACCATAAACTGAAAGGCAGCACTGGATACGCGATACTACGAGTGCCGTCACGAGCGTTCGAATGATGCCATCTAAGAGACAGTGGCGCGCGTGTGAAAGACCAATCAACAGTCCCGTACACCGGCGGCAGAGTTAACCCGCGCCCCCACTGGGGTCTGCGTATAACACGCCCTACTGGGGGGGGGGGCTATTCATAGCCCCCCTCCTAACTCCGAAACTACTGGGCCGATCGTCAAAATTCAAACGGTGTCTGATAGCCCCGCAAAAACTGTCGAGCGAAACCTAATTTCATTGACCTCGAGGTCACCGATGACGTCACAGGTCAGGTCAAAGTAAAAATTATTAGCATTTTGGCTTCTTCACGTTTTGGGCTCTGGCCGCCGTCTTACAAGTCAGATCAGGCTCATTTTTGGTTCACACACTCGTGAACAGATGCTCTAGATACTCTGAGGGTACCAAACTTGTACTTTGATTTTCAGGTCAAGGTCAGGTCATCACAGGTCACGAAAATATTATATCATCCGTCGGTCACGTGACACATGTTTTATGGTCCATTTAGGCCAAACATTTCGAATTTGATGTCGTCTGTGTCATTCGAGGTCATTTTGAGTCAAATTTAGCTCAGGTCAGGTCACTTTCAGGTCAAAAAAGGTCAAATTTTGAAGTTAAAATTTTTCAACAAAAAAGGTGTCTATTGGATGCAGTTTGAGCTCAGGAACACGATGGTGCTATTTATATTGGCGTACGATGTCAAATTCGTGCTGAAAAATTGATTTGAAAAATTAATAATTGTTAATTTTTTGCAATAATGCGTATAACTTGGCCATTTTTGAAGATATTTAGCTAAAACTTGCTAGAGTTAGTCATAATAATGCGTTCTATCACATATATTCCGGTTTTTTCGAAAAGTCAAAAAGTTTTTGAAAAAATGTAAAAATATAAATTTTGAGTTTTATTATATAAAATTTTCGAAATTTTCAAAATTTCGAAAATCCGAGATAGCAGTTTGATAGCGCAGTCTATTCTAAATCCTCTCATGCAAAGAAATTGGATCTGGCTTAAAAACTGAGATCTTGGGAGCGATTGCCGTGGTTCAATGTTTTGCGTCGAAATCGGCCGAACATGACGTCACTCTGACGTCATTTCCGGCCGACCTATGGTAGGTACGAAGTTCAAATTTTGACACAAGGTGTCAAATTGATGCAGCCGAAGGTACTGAAAGTTTGGCGTCGATACGTCAAGCGGTTTGGAAGTTATTGCAGAAAAACGGGAGGGGGGGCTATAAATAGCCCCCCCCCCAGTGGGGCGCGGGTTAAGAGACGTGTGCGTTCCATGACAGAGTGCTGTCGAAAGTGACGCCAAGGTTCCCCACCTGTGCGCATGGCTGCAATGCTGCATCGCGGAATGGTACTCTAATGTCTGGTAATTTACGTAGATTTTGGCGACTGCCAAATGCAATAAGCTGTGTTTTACTTGCGTTCACTTTGAGGGCGTTAGCGCAAAACAGTCATTGAGACGCGAGCGTGTCCTCCATGCGCGAGATGAGAACTTCGAGGTCCCGCGCTGGACCGCTAACCAATACTTGAGTGTCATCGGCATACTGAAACACTTTTGCGTCGCCCGCGTATAGCGATAAGTTGTTAGAGAAAATGGTGAAAAGAAGCGGCCCTAACGCAGAGCCCTGGAAGGCGCCCATGGCATTAGAAAGAGGCCCAGACAGCACTCTACGTCCAGATACATCTTCCAAAGACACGCTCTGAGTGTGTCCATGTAGATAGGCGGTGAACCAGGAAATTTCGTACCCGTGTAACATCAGTTTTTGCATCAGAAGATCGTGGTCAATCACATCAAAACATTTACTGAGATCGAGAAGGCATAGCATTGACAAAACCCCCTATCAGTGGCGGCCTTGATGTGTTCAGTGACGGACATCAACGCGGTTTCCGTGGAGTGCCGGGGTTGGAAGCCGTGCTGGGAGGATGCCAGAAGGTGATTATGGGAGAGGTAGGCGTAGAGCTGCTGATGGACTATATCCCGCGACCGCCTGGAGGGGGGGGGGGTCGGATCCGACCCCCCCCCCCTCCGTTTTTCTTGAATAACTCGAGAACCGCTTACGCTATCAACTGGAAACTTGGCATACCTTCTCCCCCATCAATTTGACGTCTTCTGTGTAATTTTTAAGAAAAAATTTACAACAAATTTTGAGATATATCGATTTTAGTGATGTAACTACATGGCGTTTTTAGTCAGAAAGTGGTAAATGTTTAAAAAATCGCCCAATATCAGGGTTTAAAGCAAATTGCAAATTAAGGACATGAATAGACGCAACTCAACGAGTTCTTTAAAATGGCTATCTCGGATTTTCCATAAAATGCGTTTTTCACCCCTAAAAATTCAAAAAAACTACATTTTTTGGAAAACAGCTAATAAAATCCAAAATTTAGAGAATTTTCCAAAAACCGGAATATATGTTATAGAGCTCTATTAGAACATTAGATGTCCCAAATTTCAACTTTCTATCTTGATTTTTGACCCCCAAATTATAAAAATAGCTCCAACATGCATAGGGCATGGTGACGTCATAAGCATTTTCGTGAATTAGAGGCACTTCTGAACAGTAAACATCGCATGTAAAAACAAATGGCACCACTAGATTCCTGGGACAAAGCTCGTCTAGAAAAGTGCATTTTTATGTCAAAAATAAAAGGTTGAAAAATTGACCTTTTTTCTCAGCCCTCGTTTAGTATAAACGATTTTTTATGCTTTCCATGCACACTTATCACCAGCAAAGTGAATTGGGGTCACATATAACCATTACCATCGGATTCGGCTTGAAAAATAAGCCATAAAACATGTGTTGCACGCCCATGTAGCAGAAAGTGAAAACCGTGACCTTTCGTGACCTGACCTGACCTTGACCCGTACTTAGTATGACCTCTATACGCATATGGTACCTTCACTAGGCCTTTGAGGTCATTGTTGGTGAGTTTCGAGCAGCAGCTATCGATTCCGCTGTCCGTAAGCATAATCATGCAAAACCCCAGAATTTGACCTTTGACCTGACCTTGACCCAAAAGTTGACCTCAATCTTAAAATTTTAAGAGTGCTTTGGGAAGGTCTCGTAGAGACCTTTCGAACGCCGCCTCGCGGGGCTCGATGCGACCATTGGTTCTCGAGATAACAGGGGGGGGTCGGATCCGACCCCCCCCCCCCAGGCTGTCGTGGGTACGGAAATAGCCTAGGCGGTGCCGGGATATAAAATATAATATAAAATAAATAATATAAAATATAACAAATTACTAAGATAAGGTCAATGTTCAGGTCATTCGAGGGAAGCAATTGTCCATTTCGCTCGATTATTCTAAGAAAATATTTGATTTCAACGTTTTAACTCTACATTGCACGAACAGAGGATCAGAAGCGCATGCAAATACCGAAGTGATGGCTCGCTTATAGCCATAACGGGAGCAAGATTCTTAGATAAATGGAAATAAGTCGTTAAATTTGAGCTCCGACGAACAGTTAAGCATTCATGAGAGGCTGAAATCGTAAACAAATGACGGACTTAAAAAAGGTGTAGCGGGCCCAAGACATAAGGTTTCATTCTTTGTATGCTTATTACTGTCCGGTGGGGCAATGTGAGGGGGTTATAAACTAATGCAAAGGCATGGGTCGGATGATCTACTATTTTTATTTATTTAGTGTTCACAAAAAAAAAGTTAATCAGGTTTCAGGGCTGTGATGAAAAATAAGTGGCCTAAATCCAGTGAGAAAACAGGATTTGGGTACCCCCAAGTTTTGGTTCCTTGAGTCTCTGCCCCCCCCCCCCCAGTGAAAATCTCTTAGACGAGGCCCTGCATGTTAATGTAAGCTGCTGGCAATATTTTTTTTTTATAAAATATGAGTCAAAAAGAAGGTTACCCTTAGCATTTTGAAAAATGCCGCTGGCTATAACTCGTAAACCGTTTGTAGTATAACGCTGAAAATAGGAGATGAAGAATCTACGGTACAGATAACCCCCTAGACGCAATTTCATCAAAATCTGAGGTGTAGGGTGTTATGGCTTGGTCGATCTGTCATGGAACGCCCCAGCTGTTACCCACAGTGCTGCAACAATGTTAGTGATTCTGTCAGTGACTGTCAATGACTGCCAATGACTCAGTGACTGCCAGTGACTGTCAGTGACTGCCAGTGACTGTCAGTGACTGCCAGTGACTTTAAGTGACTGACAGTGACTGTCAGTTCAGTCACTGCTAGTGACTGTCAGTGACCACCTCGGGACGCGCCGGGTTGGTCTGAGCTGAACCACACCGAGCACTGACTGTCATGTACCGCTCCCTCAGGAGCGCCGGGCTGACAATGTCGTCAGCAGCCACCTCCTCGAGCACGGTGAAATGTGACAACAGGGAGAACGCCGAGGAGGCCGGCAGCACGTGCTCCTCGCCGGCTGGCCACACCATGGTGCGCCAAGATACGGCCGGAAAGCTGCCGCCGCACCCCAAGGTCGGGCTCCACAGGGTCACTGCGGCGTCTCCGCTCTCCAGCCTATCGCTCCGGCTGGTATTTGATCACTATGAAATATCGCTTCATTTGGATTTGTAGAGCCCGCAGTCACTCGCGTTATGAAATTATACCCCATACCCCAGTCAAGCTCGGTGTAAAAATATATATTAAAGAGATTATCAGGGGTTGTAAAGTTGCAGAACGACTTGTTTTTGTTATTGCTGGATTCCTCAGGTTCTATTGATTCTAATGATATTGATATGCATACGCACTCTGTACTTGCTTGATTGTACAGCCCACCGCTAAAGTAATGTGTGGTTTTACCAATCTCAACGGATGGCTTTGACTGGCGATGTTTTAGTGCGCGGGAGTGATCGAAAAGAAGACGTCAATAGACAAAGTTGCAGCTGCAAGGGTGACGATACATGTAAACTACATTCAAAGTTTCATTGTAGTCTGGCTCATCGTTCCTAAGCTTCAGAAGCAGAACATACTCATGACTGAAACCGCACATTACTTCTGCCGTGGACTGCACATTACAACCATTGTGTCACTCCCGTCAGATTTGGTATGTAGTGCTAATACAAATAAATAGTGCTGATTCAGCAGTCCAGCTAGACTGTCAGCTGACTCAGATGTAGCGCATTCTAAACAAAACAGGAATTGAATTTGTGAACATTAACGACATATTTTGAGTGATGCATTGTTCAAATACACCTTTTTGCGTTGTTCGATGGCCGATGGGCAAACGTACATACGTGGCGCCGGTGAGATGCATTCCGGCAAAACCTTCAGCATATGGGCAAAATAGATTGCTGGTCAGCGATCCCACTTCACAGTTCGTCAGTTGGTACAGCATTCGCTATCCGATATGTCTGATTGTGTTTAGGCAAAACCTTTGACGATTTGGATAAACGCCTCGTCATTCAGTAATATCCCTTCGTCGTTTGCCAAAACGGCCCCATATCGGCATTCCTCATAGCATTTCGTCAGAGATAAAACAGATACGCTGCTATACGGAGAAAGATAAATATAGTTAACTGCGTTTCTACAGTACAGTGCGAAGCATATGTGACAAAACCCACGAGCCGCTGGGGGGGGGGGGGTTACGTTTTGTGGAATATCTCCGAAACCTGATGAGCTACGAACGTGAAACGTGGCATAGCTTCAAATGAATACCTAGGCAATGTTTGAGGAAAGTTTAATGGTTGTAACATTTAAGATCAGATACAAAATCAGATACTTGGCAATGGATTGCCCTCCCTTCAAATTTAGTTTCAACTAGGGCAGTCTAGTGGGATACTAGGAAAAATATTCCAAGCACCAGTGACGTCACAATTTGTCCAACCTTATGTTCTAGTAACCTTGACCTCGGTCTTCAAAAAATCTCCGGCACTCGGCTACGCCTCGTGTCTACAATTTTTTAAAGACCTCGGTTTCCATTTTTCTTTCCCAGAGCCGTTCAGTAATATATAGCACGTGATCTTTCCTGCACTGTTTTCCGGCACGGGTTGATGACCTACAGTTCTGGTGATTTTTTGATAAAAATCTTAAAAAAGGTGATTTCAATAATTTAAATTGTGAGTTTCTGAATAGATATTAAACGACGTATGGGAAATATCTTGCTGAACCTGCTTTGGGAAGAAAATGGAAACCTCGGTCTTCAAAAAATCTCCGGCACTCGGCTACGCCTCGTGCCTACAATTTTTTAAAGACCTCGGTTTCCATTTTTCTTTCCCAGAGCCGTTCAGTAATATATATTTAGGCAAAAACTCCGGGAGGCGGCTGTTTTTCTGTTGGTAAAACTGGCTTCAGGTTTTCCCGGGCAGGTAAAGAAAAAATGATTGGCTCGAGGGTACAATTTGGTCGTGATCCAACGGCTGTTACGTGAGCTTTTAACGAAAAACCACCCGCCGCCCCTATATGTACGAGGGTTAAATGGGATATATGAGCCGTTCTCACGACGGGCTATCCGGCGAATGCACCTGATTTGACCAAATCTGTACCTAATTTCTTTTACAGCAAATATCTTCATTTTATGAATTTAGTTCAGTGTTTTAATCGATGATGCTCTCTGATAATATGACAAAGCAGGCAAATAAGCAATTAGTGCAACCCTAGCTGATAGCTACTAAGAGACACACTGAACCTGATTTGACCAGATCTGCACCTAATCTGTACCAGATGTGCACCAAATGTGTACCAGATGGCCGTCGTGAAAACGGCTATTAAATGCTTTGTGAAGGAAGTGTCATGTTTTAACCCGCGCGGGGCTGGGGTCGCCAGCCGAACGCGCGGGGCTGGGGGGGGGGGTGTAAATTTTACCCCCCCCCCTGTTATCTCCCGAACTAATGGTCCGATTTGGAAAATTCAAACGCCAATCGAAAGATCTCATCACGAACAACTAAACACATGTACTTAATTTTAAGTTTGAGGTCAAGGTCAAGGTCAGGTCAAGGGTACAAATTGCAAGTTCCTACCGTATCGGCCTTGCACCATAGTTGCCGAAGAATGGAGTCATGGACTGAGACTGATCGCCCAAAACGTGTTCTTAGGCTACCAAGACAATATTCGTTGCATACAATATCATTCAGAGGTCAAGGTCAAGGTCAGGTCAGGTCAGGTCAGGTCACCAAAAACAAAATATAGAAAAGGGCATGTGCGACACATGTTTTATGGGTCATTTTACTCATAGAATTCAATGGGCACACTCAATAAGTGATATGGACCACCTCTGGATGAATTTCAGGTCGAGGTCAGGTCAAGGTCAGGTCAAGTGAGGTCAAATTTTGAAGTTGGTTGTTAAAGCCTAAAAAGGTGTCTATCTGATGCAGTTTTTCACGGTGAATCGAATGGTGCTATTTTTGTTTCCGTACGAGGTCTAGAACTTCCAAAAAAAGTCATTTTTTCAAAATTTTTGTGTGTCGTGACGTCATACAATTTTGAATAACTCCCACATTTTTGAACCGATTCTTCCAAAACTTGGTATGTAGGTGCACATAGACCACTTCTCTGACGTATATTCCGGTTTTTTCGATACACTCAAAATTTTGGATTTTATAGCTATTTTCCCAAAAAAGTCAGTTTTTTTTTAAATTGGGCCAAAATCCAAAATTTTCAAAAAACCGAGATAGCCATTTGATAGACAAAGTAGAATTACGTATATCCTTTTTGTTACGTCTTGATTCCTTTAAAAATGAAGATGTTAGCGGCGTTTGAACTTTTGCCGTTTTTGAGGCGAAAATGACGAACATGACGTCACTAAAACGTCAATTTCTCAAAAAAATTCCGACAGATTTCGCTCAAATTTTCAGGGAACGTGTCAAATTGATGTAAAAAAAGGTACTGAAAGTTTGGCGGCGCTGCGCGCCGCCGTTTTTGAGATATTGAAAAAATTCGAGAGGGGGGGGTAAAATTTACCCCCCCCCCAGCCCCGCGCGGGTTAAATTTGATGCATCGGAAATGCAGAAATACCCAAAGAGTTCCAGAAAGGTATGGATTTCAGTAAACTTGGTTGTGTCAGCAATGGGGTCTGGTAGGTGGAGGTAATGGGCCCTGCCTGGCGCCTAAAAAGGGGGCACAACCCCGAATGACCTGCCGACCACTGACCTAGATCAAACCGATGACGTCACAGGTCAGGTCAAAGGTCAGATATTCACCGTTCACAGGTATTTCAAGAAATGTGTTGTGAAATCGAGTAAATTGGTAAGTTATTGAAAACCATCGATGGTACATTGTTCGTCAAACACATACTTCGCTATCTGAGGTCACTGATACCAGGGCAGGTCACAGAGGTCAGGTCACTGGGGGGTCACAATATTAAAGTGTCATGTGATACATGTTTTATGGTCCATTTTACATGACAAAAGCGGTCATGTGGGTCAGGCAGCCTTTGGGGTCAGCTTAGATTATGTTCCGGTGAAGGTCAGGTCAAGGTCAGGTCAAGGTCAGGTCAAATTAGGTCAGATTTCAAAGTTGATATTTTTGCATAAAATGGGTATTCATTCGATGCAGCTCGTCACGGGGAGTCCAATGGTGGTCTTTTTTTGCCCTACGTGGTCTAGAATTACCAAAAATTGAGTTTGAAAATTTGACGTCATCATTTTTGAACAGTTTTTTCGCTATAACTTCGCCAAAAAAGGAGATATCGATCTGAAGTTTGGTATGTAGATAGAAGACGGTAGGTACTATCACATATATTCCGATTTTTTGGAAACTCAAAAAACTTTTTGAATTTTTTGACTTATATAAAATAAGGTATTTTTTATTTTTGGGGTCAAAACTCAAAAATTTAAAAATCCGAGATAGCAGTTTTGTAGCCCTGTCAATTTTACACCTTTTATTGCTTGATCATTTTTCTGTATCTTCAAAGCTGTAGGCCTGACAGCTCTTCTCGTGAAGGTCTTTTTTCGTTCGAAAATGGCAGAACATGACGTCATTCTGACGTCATTTGTGGCTAACCTATCATAGCCTTTGGAAAATTTTTTGGTCACAATGTGTAAAATTGATGCCTGGAGAGGTCTTGAAAGTTTGGTGGCGATATCTCCAGCCGTTTAGGAGATATCGACGGAAAAGGACAGGGGGCCGTTTCTGCCCCCTATACGGGGCGCGGGTTAATTAAGCCGGCGGCCAGAGCCCAAAATGTGAAGAAGCCAAACATCGATAACTTTTACTTTGACCTGACCTGGGACGTTATCGGTGACCTCTAGGTCAATGAAATTACGTTCCTCACAACAGTTTTTCCGGGGCTATCAGACGCCGTTTGAATATTGACAATCAGCCCAGCAGTTTGGGAGTAAGGAGGGGGTCTATGAATAGCCCCCTCCCCCAGTAGTGCGTGTTATACGCAGACACCGTGGGGTGCGGGTTAAGTATACTACCACTGGGGTCCCTAAGGTAAGGTTGGGGCTCCTTGAGCAGGTTTCGCCTCCCCATTTTCAAGATCCGGGATACGCCACTGCCTTGACCCTACCCGTGACCTCTAAATTCAACTTTAAATT